GTAACGGGATGGTCGGATTAACGAGGTTGTAGAACCGTTGTTGTTTTTGGCCAAGCGCACGCTGCGCGAGTTTATTGAATCAATGTCAGAACCAAAAAAAAAAAACAATCAAACAGGGCCTTCTTCAGTGGTTTGAAAATCACTTTAAAGTTATGATCCGGATAAAGAGAAAGGCAATATTTTATCATTATCATCATCATCGTCATCGTCATCGTCATCCTCATTGTCATCATCATCATCATCATCATCATCATTATTATTATTATTATTATTATTATTATTATTATTATTATTATTATTATTATTATTACTGGGCAATAAGCTTTCCCCACAAAGAATGTTTTTATTTTTACACAGTGAATGCATAAACCTACAGAAAGGCAGTTTACAAAATAGAATGTACATTTTTAAACTCTATTTTGAAATGGCGCTCCTTATGTTTAAAGATTTCGACCAATCATAAGAGCTGCAAACAATAGACAAGAAAAGTTTAGTTTCACATGTTGTGACATAGGAATTCTGTGTTGTTTAGGCTCAGACAAATTTTGTTATAAGTGGGGAGTTGGTTGGAAAACTAAGGGTTAATATACATGCTGTTTTGCGACGTTTTCATAAATCATGTTGTTTAGACCAAACAGAAGTATGGCCAGCATCTATGCAAATTTATGGAACAAAAGAAAGCGTTTGCATAAGAAAAGAGTTAAACTCCCACGGGTTGGTTTGGGGACACCAACGTGGCCGCCATTTCATTGTTTTGGGACACCAATATGGCCGCCGTGACGTCATGTGAAAACTCTCAAAAGGGAGTTTAAGCAGTGGCGTTTTCTAGCGACGCAAGTCAACCGGAAGTGGACTTTTTGCAATCTTGGGCCGTGATTTTGAACACATTTTCTAGCAGACTGTCTCTATCAGAGTAAAGACACTTAGCAATAAAAATTTGGTGGCGTCAAGGCATATTTAAAGGCTAAAGGACTCACTTCCGGTTGACGTGCGTTGCTCAAAAACGTTGCTGCACGTTGCTCCTTAAGCTCCCTAATAGTTAAGTAACCGTAAAATTCCGAAAATAAACCCCTCCAAATATAAGCCCCCCAAACCGGTAACGCAAAAAACCGTCCGTTAAATCGCCCCTCCAAATATAAGCCCCCCGGGGGCTTTTACTTGGAAAATTGCCCTCAAATACAAAGTAAAACAAAGCAAAAACGGTAAATTTACTTCCAACTATAAGGTTAGCCCAATCGATTTTGAAACGCAAATTTTCCTCTGTAGATAAGCTCCTCCGAATATAAGCCCCTCCAAAAATAAGCCCCTCAAAAAGGGCCGTTGAAAAGTATAAGCCCCGGGGCTTATTTTCGGAATTTTACGGTAGCACCTTTTATCTGGACCGTTACTTAAATTAAACGCTTTAATTTTTAATCCGGAGGTACATTTAAACACTGAAGATGTGGTTCATTGTTCCTGTTTCTATTTTTAGGAAGAATGTTTACGTTATATTGCTGCACATCTTGAGGTCATGGAGTCAGACATATTCCAAGAGCTTCCGTCCAATTTGAAGAAAGAAATCACAGATAAAGTTCAGCAAAACATGTAAGTTAGATCTAATAAACAATAATTGTCATAGTATGTGTCTTAATTCCAGTTGAATTTACCACCTTCGTGGATATAGATTGGACTGATCAAGCAAAGAGAATTGTTCCTTTAAAAAGATGACTTAATGCCATACTGATCTAGTACATGTTTTGAAGTTTCGTATCAATACGTATCTATTTGTTTCTTTTTCTTCATAATACCCTCGAGGGTTAACAAAGAAGTGTTTTAGAAGTAAGATCTTAGGAAAGATATCTCCTTCAGTAGAGAGGGTCGCACTATTTGTTGTTGCTGGTGATATGTATGGCCATTTTACTTGGCTTCTTTTGTAGGCCGCAGGTTGACCCAATTTCAGAAGAGGTACGGCAAGCCTTTGCAGTAAGTATTCCTCATTTGACACCGAACCGTTTCTTAGATTTCTATTTCTATTTGAACGACGCGAATCTAAATATTGAAACATTGTTTGTCGATTTTGTTCCAAGTTGACGACGTTAGAAGACTTGGAGGATCTTTTAGATGATGATGATAACGAGGATGATGATGACTATGATAGTACTGGTGACGATGATGATGACGTCATGCCGCGCGNTTCCAAGAGCTTCCGTCCAATTTGAAGAAAGAAATCACAGATAAAGTTCAGCAAAACATGTAAGTTAGATCTAATAAACAATAATTGTCATAGTATGTGTCTTAATTCCAGTTGAATTTACCACCTTCGTGGATATAGATTGGACTGATCAAGCAAAGAGAATTGTTCCTTTAAAAAGATGACTTAATGCCATACTGATCTAGTACATGTTTTGAAGTTTCGTATCAATACGTATCTATTTGTTTCTTTTTCTTCATAATACCCTCGAGGGTTAACAAAGAAGTGTTTTAGAAGTAAGATCTTAGGAAAGATATCTCCTTCAGTAGAGAGGGTCGCACTATTTGTTGTTGCTGGTGATATGTATGGCCATTTTACTTGGCTTCTTTTGTAGGCCGCAGGTTGACCCAATTTCAGAAGAGGTACGGCAAGCCTTTGCAGTAAGTATTCCTCATTTGACACCGAACCGTTTCTTAGATTTCTATTTCTATTTGAACGACGCGAATCCAAATATTGAAACATTATTTGTCGATTTTGTTCCAAGTTGACGACGTTAGAAGACTTGGAGGATCTGTTAGATGATGATGATGACGAGGATGATGATGACTATGATAGTACTGGTGACGATGATGATGACGTCATGCCACGTGGGAACAGCCAGGTCGAACGGTGTATTGAAACTCTAAGGGGTGTCTTGGGAGACGCTGTACCGAGGAGGGAACTCTTGCGCGTGACTCTTGCTGCGGACTGTGATCCTAACAGAGCGCTTAATTTCTATTTTGCGTGACACCCATAAACCGATATGGCGTTACACCTCCTTCGCTTCTTACACACGGCGTCTGATAAACTTTAACTTCAAAATAAACGTTAACTTCGATTTTTGTGATAGTATTGCAGAGAGGAAGGAGATTGGGGAGGTGGTCGACTAACAGTGCTGGGGTAACAAACTTTCTCTGATTCATACTCAGCCTGCATATCTGGCGGTTTTGTTTGGAAGGGGCAATGGGGTTGAGAGGTGCGAGCGAGCGACGAGGCCGTGAAGAGAATGGAGCGCTTTCTCGGCTCCGGCGCTTATTTTTGCGCTCACCAGACAAAACCGCAAGCTCTGCGCACGTTGTACTATCTTTTCTTCCCTCTCAAACGTTTCAAATCACTTGGTCCGAGCGAGTCTCTCGGTCCTTCGTCTCGAATACGTCACCGAAATGCACTGTACCGAGAAGACGCCGTCTTTTGGAAGTACTTTCTACGTCGAAAGCGATACGCCTCTTTCCAAAATGGCGTCAAATTTTGCCTTGTTTTGTCATTATGATAATTGGCCCTCGATGCCTAGTTTAAGGTAAAATTTCTTTTCAAGTTGCGTTTTCACTCACGTGGCCAGCATCTGTGCAAATTTATGGAAACAAAGAAAGCTCTTACGTAAGAGTTCAACTCCACAGGATTGGTTTGGGACACAACACGCTCTATTTTGCAAGTGCAATCGAAGCAAAGAAGGCTATTTAGCGTAAATTTAAAAGAAGAAAATGTTACATCTGGATTAAGGTTTCTTAGCCTCATTCGTGTGGTGTTGCGAATGTGTCACCCATGGAAAGTTAGCTTTCGGGGATTTGAGCGAGTTATAGATCATCCCGCCGGGAGGAACAAAAGTCGTTTTGGCAACTTTTAAGTTTTTTTTTTTAAGACTGAATACTGATATAAACCTTTTTCAAAGATACTGTATTTTAAAAAACGAAATTACAGCGTATCCAGTGGTGTAAAGAGCGCAAAAAAAAATAATCCATTGGTGAGACGTTCTAGGTCTTTCCTCACAAACGCGAGGAAGCAGTTAGATAAATGGAATTATCTATCACAGGACATTAATTTCAGGACTCACGGCATGAGCTGTAGTTATTTGAAGGATTATTTTGATATCCATCGTATGTTGCTTCGCTGTTGGCGTCTGTTACTTCGCAGTTAAGTTTAAAAATTAAAAATAATTCTTCGATACAATTTTTCGTCCAGAGATGGGTGATATTATATTCCTGTCTTGACGTTTTTTTCTGGGGGTTTTTAATGAGTATTATTTAAATAACTTCAATAAGGTTGTCTCAGCTGTACAACTAGCAAATCCTGTATGAAATATGTAACGTGTATAAAGAAATTAGGTATTTATGTTTGCAAGTTCTGAAACTGTTGCTTGGGAGATTTTTTAATAAATTTTCTGAATGGTCGGTAATTTGGTCTGTTTTATTCTGACACCCTTTTTCTCCGCTAAATCCAGACATATTGTTATTTATTTCCCGTGATAATAAGGTATTTAGAACTGTGAAAAGATAAATACTGCCATTTGTCATTTTTCGTTATAGTAAACTTTCCGCAAAATTAGCATTTTAGAGCCGCCAGGTGCATTTTTGTAATACTAAACCATCTCCGACCGGTTAAAAATAATTTATATCGCCTGGCAACAGAACGCATTTTTGTGACGAATATGAACTTTTTTCGTTAAAAATACAAAGTTAAAAGTCTTCATAGCACTCAGAGTTAAACGTCAATGTATTGACCAAACTTATTATGCTTTGGGACTTGAGGAGAAAATCATAGGCTATTTAACAACTGATTAATAATTCATATCTAAATTTTTTCAATTTTCTCTTTTGAACCACCCGAAGTTGCTATGTTTAGCATGTTTAACATAACAGAAAATGGCGTTGAACGTTTTAACTTCCTAGCGAAGAAAAGACGTTAGAATCATTCTACTCCTTGACTTCTGCTTTCGAAGGGGATAATTCCGTTAACAATCTTGAAAAGAGGAAGGTAATGAGGCAACTGGGTAGTGTTTACATGTGGCGTCGAAATGGGATGCGGGACTTCGAAGACGCTGCAAGTTAATGCGGATCTCAAAGAAGCTGATATCGTTAAACAAGTTCATATCGAAGAGGATGATGGAGGAGAGCTGGAGACCAGCAGCAAGGAGTTTATCTCAAAAGACGAAAGCGACGAAAACGTTCATCTTACAAAGTTAGAAGACGACACTTCGAATGCGCCTATACAGCAGCAGAAAGAATTTGCTCTTGGCGATCGTGTTCATATGCGTGGCTACGTCGGTATTGTAAAGTTTGTAGGTACGACTGAACTTGGTGAGGGGGAGTGGATTGGAATAGAAATGGACCAAGAACTGGAGCAAGGGAATGACGGATCTTACGAAGGGATCCAGTATTTTCTTTGTGGGAGAAAACGCGGTGTTTTCGCGAGACCTACTATGGTATTTCCTCACCCGAAACGGGATGATGCGGGCCAAGCATCACGTACTCTTTCACCCGCAACAGTCGTTTTTATTCAGGCGAGATTGCGCCGTGTACTATCAGGGATTCGTAGGCGAAAACTGCAGCTTCGCACCGATATTGATAAGGCTATTGACGCGCACGTGAGAAGCATACCAAAGAGCGAAACAGAAACAGTTGCTAAACTTAGCCATTATCTCACGGAACCATTTGAAGGACTGCGAAACAGGGCTTTCGCTTTATATAGGTGGATAACCGTCAACGTGTACTTCGACGTTGAAGGGTACTTTGAGCGTGCGGCAATGCGTGGCACTGACTCCGAAAGCGTGCTTCGAGAACGCGTCACGTCGAGCGAGGGTTATGCAACTCTTTTCGAGGAACTGTGTAAGGCGTCCAACGTCCCTACCAAGAAAGTCAGAGGGTTTGCTAAAGGATACGGCTATCATATGCGACAGAAAATTCCACAACCGAATCATTCGTGGAATGTGATAAGAGTAAGCGGTGGAAAGTGGTTCATCTGTGATCCGACATGGGGAGCAGGACGAATCGGAGACGACATGATGTTCCACAGGGATCCCAACGTACACCAGTTTATGATCCTGCCTTCAGTGGCCATCACAAGTCGGTTCCCCGTTGATGAAAGATGGCAGTTTTTGGATCAACCGATCACGAAGGAAGCTTTTGAGCGATTAGCGGTACCTTCTGGACACCTCTGTATAATGAACGTTTCCCTCTGCAGTCATAAAGAAAGCATGTACACTGCTTCCGAGAGCGAACAAATTGAAATGACATTTTATGCCACCGATAGCACGATTTTCAAAGGTGTGCTAAAACGCTACGCCGGAGGAAAAGAAAAGCCAACGGCCAGAAACATGGTTCGTTTTGAACCCGCCCGTCAAAACGACAAAGTCAAACTAACTGCTCAGTTTCCTTCTGCCGGTGAGTTTTTCTTGGATGTCTTGGTTCTTGTCGACCGCAAGTGGGAACATGGGGTCAGATACTGCATTTATTCCACGGGGGGTGTTGGAGAGGTACGAGGTGGCTTTCCCTCGGTAGGTCGGAACTTTTATTCCCTGGGATTTCAACTACATAAACCTTTGAAAAACATCGAAACTATGAATGGAAAGTGCTGTGTTTATTTGAAATGCAACAAAAAGCGGTTTGGCTCACTAACAGGGAAGTTGGTAAAGACATCCAGCCCGACCTCCGGCGAAACAAACGATCATAGACTATACCGCAGTGAAAAAACCGACAACGGTTTCCTCCTGAAAGTCCACTTGCCTAGTAAAGGAGAACACAGACTGTCTATTTATGCCAAGTACCATGACCACAGGAAACCCAACGAATACTTGTGTACATATTTTGTAACGGCGTACAAGGGAGCCGGACAAGCTGCTGGGTTCCCTGTTATATCAGATCGATTCAAAACTTGGGGCTTAACACTTGTGAGTCACCAAGAAAACATTTTAGCAGAATCTGGACGCTGTTCTATCGCGCTGAAAACCCCCGAAGAAATCACACTCTCCGCACATCTAAGTTTACGAGGAGATGACGTTCCCGGAATGTGTTCAGTGGAAAAACTTGAAGAGAAATCCACGATACATGTGCACGCCCCAGAAGCCGGACTGTTCACACTGAATGTTTTTGGACGAAAAACAACTGACGAAAAGTCGGAGTTTCTGTGCACCTACACTATAAAAGCTTTAAAGGGTGTGAGCGATAATCCTGGTTTTCCTCAAATCTCCGAGCTTTTCAAGAAATGGGGAGTGGAATTGATCGATCCACACGAGAACATTTTGTCGGAAAATGGACGAGCCTGTTTGAGACTCAAGACACCAGGGAGCGTTTTAGTTCAAGCAACATTGCATCAAAACGACAATCCTCTACCTCATGAGCTCTGTTTCACTGAAAGGGAAGGAGCTGTCAGCAAAATCAGTGTCCATTTACCAGCGGTCGGTTTATATAAGCTTAACATTTTCGGGCGAGAAGGGCCCGGAGGCAAAGGTCACTTCCTTTGCTCGTTCAGCGCTTTGGCCACGTGCGGGTACGAGGAAAATCCGGGATTCCCTCGGGTCTCCGATGAGTTTCGAGCGTGGGGCCTTCGGCTGGAAAGCCACCGACAGAACATTACCGTGTATGATGGGTCGGTCGCAATCACGTTGTTAAACCCCAACGCTATTAAGATTTTTGTCCATCTCTTGAACGAAAACGAGGAAAGCCAAGACAAGGGGTGCATGAGAACAGAGAGAATCGAAGAAAGAGACGTGATCTACTGCCAGCTCCCAAAGAAAGGAAGATATAAGTTAGATTTGTATGGGAAGAACTCGAAAAAGGCCAAGAAAAAGCTCTTCCTTTGTAGTTATTCTATCTGTTACTAGCTAATTCAAAGAGACATTCGGATTTAACGCGTTACTCTAATATCACCACGGAAGATAAATCTGCCTGTAAACACCTTTAAGGGGGCGGTGTCACGGCTGCCTAGTTCATTTTGCTTTTGATGCCAATCACGCGTTCTTATTCGCTATGGAACTTGAGAAATTACAGTGCGACTACTCGAACCGGGGCACTAGGATGAAGAATAGGGAGCTTAAGCAGCGACGTTTTTTGAGCGACGCACGTCAACCGGAAATGGACTTTGCACTCTTGAGCCGTGATTTTGAACAAATTTTTGGGCAGATCGTCGCTACAAGAATTAAGCCACTTGGCAATACAAATACAGTAGCGTCAAGGCTTATTAGAAGAGAAAAAGGCTCGCTTCCGGTTGACGTGCTTCGCTCAAAAACGTCGCTGCTTAAGCTCTCTATTATCCAATCACAACGGTTTTTGAAAAACAAAAGAATCTAATTTTTTTTTTTGCAAACGGACCAATAACATTCTTGAATTTGAGGGCTGTTTCCTGAGAGGTCAAGTAAGTTCAAACGGTTTTAAAGTTTTCAACGGTTGCATTGTGGAACATTGAATTTTATTGGTCCGTTTGCAAAAAAACTTGAAAATCTTTTGTCTCCAAAAAACGTTGTGATTGGATACTCTTCTTCAAAGTGCCCCGGTTCGACCAGAGAAAACAGCCGACATTTCGCGAAGCCACCAAAGGTTTCCCCTTGAAATGACGTCTGAGAAACGAGCGCAGAAAGATCTGGGGAGTGCTTCTGATTGGTTGAATCAGAAGCACTACCCAGATCTGGGTAGTGACACGTCATCAGTATGGAATTTCTGCGCTCGTTTCTCGGACGTCATTTCAAGGAGAAACCGCTGGTGGCGTCGCGATATGTCGGCTGTTTTCTCAGGCTACGGTTCGAGTAGTAGCACTGTAATTGTCAATGACAATATNTTTTCCTCACGAGCTTGGAGTTCGTCTGGGGCGACAGCGGTCCAACTGATCTCAAAAAAAAGTCGACTGAAGTCAGAAATCAGTCAAGAAAGAAATGGCATACTCCCGGTCATGGCACTTCACCCAAAAAAGTCAAAGCTTAACTCTCTTCAAATCTAATCACACCGCTTATTAAAAACCAAAAAAACTTATTTTTTTTTTTGCAAACGGACCAATAACATTCTTGAATTTGAGGGCTGTTTCCTGAGAGGTCAAGTAAGTTCAAACGGTTTTAAAGTTTTCAACGGTTGCATTGTGGAACATTGAATTTTATTGGTCCGTTTGCAAAAAAACTTGAAAATCTTTTGTCTCCAAAAAACGTTGTGATTGGATACTCTTCTTCAAAGTGCCCCGGTTCGACCAGAGAAAACAGCCGACATTTCGCGAAGCCACCAAAGGTTTCCCCTTGAAATGACGTCTGAGAAACGAGCGCAGAAAGATCTGGGGAGTGCTTCTGATTGGTTGAATCAGAAGCACTACCCAGATCTGGGTAGTGACACGTCATCAGTATGGAATTTCTGCGCTCGTTTCTCGGACGTCATTTCAAGGAGAAACCGCTGGTGGCGTCGCGATATGTCGGCTGTTTTCTCAGGCTACGGTTCGAGTAGTAGCACTGTAATTGTCAATGACAATATCTGGACTTCGTGTCAAACAAATAATGTCTCTCAACCATTTTATCAAACATTACAAACAACAAAACTGAACTTTGAGAACTTGTTAGGCTGACAAGTTTTCAAAAACCACAATTGCAATCCGTTTCAAGCTTCTTCAAGCTTCGTCCATCCGTGCTTCCTATTGTATTTGGTGTGTTATTTATACCTTCGTTTAATGTGTTGAAGCACTCAGTTTGGTGGCAGATTTTACTGTTTGAATTTCTATATTCGTGACACAGCTCCTTTAATTTCTTTTTGTGGATGGTATCTCAACTGGCTTATACACTGTCACAAAATATATTGCGCAATATAAATTAGAAGGTGTACATAAATCGGTTTTAAAATCGCGCGTTTTGTCAATTCGTAACTTGCTAGAGATAGAGTAAAACTCTTTGAGTTAATATATAATGATTCTGCAAACGCTGCAGGAATGTAAGTTATGCAAATTTTGTGAAAAGAGATCTAATAGTAAAGAATTGTATTCCGTAACTATCGCTTTGTGTGAAATTTTACTTCAAACTTGAACATTAAGGAAGCCTTCACTCGGGCCTTTGCCTGTATAACATGCGCTTTATGAGGCAAGCGAGGCGGACGCGGGTTTTTACGTTCGCGCTTCGCACTCGTTTCGCGCATCGCGCAAAATATCGCGTTCCCCTCGCTTGGCTCATAAAGCGCCTTTTAAGCAGGCTACTCAGGGCTTTGTGGCTTGTGAAATGGCAATCTCGTTCCCAGGGTTCTCTGAGTAGGACAGAACCAAGGAACCGAGGTTGGTTAACAGGCCCTCTTAGTTAGGAACTGAGAATGAGCTCGCTCAGAGATCATATGGGCTCCTCCTTTTACCTTATTCTAACTGTTCACAGGATAGGACATTGCCAATTTCATCCTCATGGATATCTATCTTATTCCCGATCCAAAAGGTAGCTGCACAAGTTTGCAAGCTACACTCAGCTAAACCGGGAAAATTGTAACCCTGGTAACCAGTGGAAGCACGGGAATTAGCAACCCGTTACTAATGCTTAGGGCGGGAAAAATACAAAGCACAACGCTCGGCAACTTCACATGGCAGCCTTCACTTAAATCTCGTTTCCAGGGTATGAATATCCTTGTAAATTGATTGGTCCAAGTATTTTCCTACCCTCCCCTAAAAGCTCAGTTTCAATAGATATAAAAAAGGCCCTAGGAACTATATATACTTTCAGTGACTAAACGCAGTTAAAAGCTAGCGCGAATTGATCTGGTGTATGCTAGGTTTTTCCTATTACCTAGTTGGCTGAGAAGGCAGAAAAGACCCTTCCACGGTTTTTCCAACTTGTGATAAAGAGTAATAAGCGAACATCTATTGACACTACTGGAAAGAGGGCCTCAAAATCGGTTACGTCATCAGGTTTAAAGGTGATACGTCAAACAAGAGCAAAGATCCTGCTCCAAAAGTCGCGTTGCAGACATTTGTACGGTGGGGGCACGAATTTGCCTCATACCATGATACAAACGTCTTTAACTGAATTCCGCGACCTTGCGGCGCTATATCTTCGATAGTTTTCAACCAATGACTATCAAACTTGGCAACTTAACTGATTTTAAAGCGTTTATTCCAGCCGTGTTGACGGACATTCGCGTACTGGTCCCCGTAAAAATTTGAAAAAAACCGGGGAGGGGCTATTATGCACTCACTATCCGAGGAATGGACAGTGTGCGCAGTTTTAAAGAGATTATTGAGAGTTTATCAGTGATCAGGGAACGCACACGCTGACAAAAACTAAGAAAGTCTTACATAATCTATGCAGTCTTTCAAATTTGTCCTACATTGGAATAAATCTCATTTAGGTTGGTATAGAACTTTGTATGAACCGAGATAGGTTTGTTTAGTACTGTCGAGTGATAAATTTGTACCAAAAATGTTCAGTTTAAAACTTCCAGGCTTTGGCAGGTCACAACTTATCGTGGTCTTGTTGTCAGCGGTTTGTGATGGAAGAGAATACCCAATCTGCTTGTTGTGCGCATCAAATAGGAATAACTGGACAGAAATGTTACTGGGGTGTGAAAGTGTTACGGTCACGTGACTCTCGAGGGACAAAATGTTCTCGAAGTGATCGACCAGTTCCAGTCCCCACTCTTTGAACTCATCCTTGAGGTAAGGGAAGCCTGGGTTCAAGCTAGCTGCTTGTTCTGCTTTGATGACTAACGAACTCAGGTACTCGCTATCTTTGCCGTCGGGTTTTCTACCAAAAATGTTGAGCTGAAATTCGCCGGTTTCTGGCGCGTGTACCAGAACTGTACTGACGCCGTCTGACGTCGTAGTAAAGCACAAACTGTTGTCTAGATATTGACTTCCTTTCATCAAGTGGCCACTGAGGATAATTTCATCCGGGGTCTTTATTTTGACAGAGGTGCGTCCATCCGGGACATGGATGTTCTCTCTGGGCTCAATAAGCTCCAAACCCCAAGCGTCAAAGCGATCGGATAGTCGAGGAAAGCCTGGAACTGGTCGTACGCCAGCGAGTGCAGTGATATAGTAGCCACAAACATAAGTGTTAGGACGTCCCTCCTCAGTGTGCTTTGCGAATATGTTCAAAGTGTATTCGCCGGGAACAGGGCAGTGAACTTTAACCTGATAACCTTTGTTCGTCTTTTCTGTCCAACAAAACGTAAAGCCGTTAAACTCTTTCTTAAGTTTCTTGTCTTTTCCTTCAAGTTCTAAATGGCCACTGACGCCTGAAATCTGCGAGTTGTAATTCTCTATAGAGATGCACGCTTTTCCATCTTCCGAGACGACGTTCTCGAACGGATGATCAAGGTAAAATCCCATTTCGTAGAATTCGTTTCCTATCCGAGGAAATCCCCCTCGACGTTTTTCCACGCCTTTACAGGCGTTGATAAGATATTCTATTCCATGTTGCCACGTATTATTTGAATCTGCGTCCCTTACGTACAGACACAACTTGAACTTGCCGGGGGTGGGAAACTGCGCTCTTAGTTTAACTTTGTTCACCCCACAAGGAATTACTTGCGTCCACTTTCGTCCTTCGAGCTCTTTCCCCGAGGAATCTTTTAGACCACCTCGCAGTATTTTCAAAGAAGGCGAGTAAAACAACATGTCTATGTTATCCGCATCCTCGACGGTGTAAATGCTTTCTTTGTGGCTTAACAGCTCGACTCCCACCTCATGAATCCTTCCAGAAGGCACGACCAACTTTTCGAATTCCTCTTTGCTGATTGGCTGGTCAAGGAACTGCCATTGTTCATCCGCTGGATAATGACTACAGATAGCGTATTCTGGATCCATTAGGAACATGGCAACGTTGGGGCTCCGATGAAATATCAAATCATTCCCCAAGTAACCAGCCCCCCATGTAGGCTC